CGAGACACCCAGTCGCTCTCCTGCCCGCCCCGGCATCCCACGCCCCCCGCCATCGCTCCTAAGAGCATTCGCGTGGGGAGGCGGTTGTCCTCCATGCGCGTAACAAAGCCCGCGAAACACAGTCTCCGTTTGCGCACGGTGGCCTCGATGGAAAAACCAACTCCTCGCAGCCTGCCTGCATGAGGGCCTGGGCATAGGACAGGGGGCGGTCTGAGCGTTTCCGCTTGCTCCAGCCGATGCACCGTGTGAGGAACTGGCGGTGGGTCCCATTGAGCTTCGTGTAGTGCTCCGCTGTTAGGCTCCACGAGGCGCACCCATACAGGAGAGTCTCCACCACTTCAGCCTGGAGTAGCCGGATCTTGAGCTGGCGGTCGGCCCGTCGCCTGTCGTACATCGAAGCACTGTTCCGGCGGTAGCACTTCCACGCTCGGCAGCTGCGGCTCGTGATCTCCCGGTCGGCCTTCCCGTCCACGGAGATGGTACGTCCGAGGTACACAAACCGATCTGTCTGCTTGTTGTACGTCTGGCCGGCGGCACTGACCGTGAACGGGCGTTCCTCGATCCCTTTCGGCAGCATGCACATGATCTCCGTCTTTGGCTCCGATACCATCAGTTCGAACAGGCCAGTATAGGTGTCCCGATACTGTTGTTGTTGTAGTTTCTCACATAAGCTCTTAAGTCCACAACGAATGGGGAGCCCGTGGTCTCAAAACCCGGCACATACGACGCCGCGGGGGAACAAAACAATAATAGGGTTGTAGTCTTCACATAAAAAAAGGGTACAAACCACTCGGAAAAAAATGAAAGCAAAATGATAGAAAGAAAAGAACTGGGACCGCACCGACCGTTCGAGGAAAGACTCCTAGGAAACCGATCAAAATAAAACAAAATTGAATAAAGGAGGACGCTTCCCACACCCGCCCAAAGAAAAATCAAAGGGTAACGTACCAGCACCAGGCTCTACGCACCAAGGCATGGGAGTAACGGAGCACACAGGACAAAGCAACAGCAAAAGCGACACTGTAGTACAGTACTGGGCCCGCTATAGTGCCGGTATGTGCCCAGAGATAATATCGGCACTATTGAGGGCACCGTCACTAATCAGAATAGTGCCTCAATAGTGCCGAATCGGCACTGTTGAGGTTTCGAATGATTTCATGCTGTGGCGCTCATGCGTTGCGGGGCTTACAGAGTACGAATTGGATCAATTGTCGGAGGGCAAACAAAATAATAATAATTGGATCAAACTTAGTGAAGGTCTATCGTGGGCGTAGGCATCCTTTCTCGCGACAAGTATGGTTCCCTGTCGCACACACAGAGGGCGAGTTGTAAAAAATATTTGCTTGCATGTTGCACCGTTATTCTCTGCCTGCCTCAGCACATGAACTGTACTGCACACTCTGAACTGTCGAAACTGCTATTGACGGCAAGATGCTTGTAAAGCTCCCGTTCGTTCAGAGTGGACGTAGCTATATCTCAGCCCTAGAGCCCCTCCTTCGATGTTTCAAGGTACAAAAGACAAACTAGAAAAAGAAAACACGACAGGAAGCGCACTGCAAGAAAACAAAAATCAATACTACTACACTACTGTTGTATGTCCCCCCCAAACTATGTCGCGACACTGGAGTGTCTGCCTGGCGTACCCGCTTCGATGTTGCGAGAAAAAAAATAAAAACTACAAGTACACGACAGGACCGCAAGAAAAAGAAACAACAATGAACTCTACGTCGCGACAAATCCTCTAATGTCTGTCTGGCGCACCCGCCTAGCGGAATGCGCTGCGATCATCGACATCGTCGCTTTCGTTAGGTAGAACGCCGCGTCTCCGTTGCCACTGTCCTCTGCTGCCACTTCCAGGGCGCCGAAGGTGAGACGACAGTTCTTCATAACCCGGTGGCGCACGTGGTGGGGCACGGCGCTCGCGCCCCGTGTTCTCACCGCCGCCGCCTTGGTCCTGTTTGTCCTCCTCGTCGTCGCAGCATTGCATGTAGCGCACCTCCGGAAAATCTCCTTTGCGTGCACTTTTCTGGCTGCCGCAGCCTGCAGCAGTTCCTGTCTCCACCTTCTGCCGGCCAGCCTTCACGGTCTCAATAAGCCGAAGCGAGCACTTGAAGCGGTCTGCAATCTGTGCGTGAGACACCTTCTGATCCAGCATCTTCAGAATCTCGAGCTTCTTGTTGTTGTCCAGCCGCGCACGAGAACCCGTTCCCTTCTTGCTTCCCCCGCTCGTCTGCTTCTGGCGTTTAAATGGTCCCGCCCCAGCACCCTTAGCTGGTGTCGCTTTGCGCTTGCTAGTCCTGGCGACACACGTGCTGCAGATGCGGTTCTGCCCGTTGTCCTCAAACACGCTGCCGCAGTTGCCGTGGAGCCGCCCGCCACATCCTCCCTTGCAAGGGTGGCCATGAGGGGGTTGCGGCGTCCTGTCTTGTTGAAGGCACAGTTCACCTTCCGCACAAGGCATGGTGCGCCTCTGCGTAGAACTCTTCGGGTCTTTAGCAGCACGTGTACCCTCTGTGTTGCGTGTGTCCGCTGTCTTGTGTGTGTGTGTGTATTTTTATTATTAGCATCGACCGCGCTAACCGGCTGACCAATGAAAAGACGCCAGTCTTACGGTGTGTGTGTGTGTTTTTATATTGTTAGCATCGACCGCGCTGTGTGTGTGTCAGCTGGCGTGTGTGTTTTATTATTAGCATCGACCGCACTAACCGGCTGACCAATGAAAAGACGTCAGTCTTAGTGCGGTTGAAAACACAAAACACTTCTATCTACCATGAACTGGGACCCCGTGAGGGGGCAGCATGGGGGAGGCTAAACTATCCTTCGGATCAAAAACAGAAACAGCAGCAACAGAAGAAAACCTCACCTGTCTACCAAGGCTATTACCTAGTACTCGAGTTCGTTTAGGAGTACTTTCACCAGTATCCTCCTTGTTTTCGCTACCATCATTCTGATCCTCGTTTTGACAAAAAGAATCCCTGGGCCGTTCTTCCCTAGCCCTACGTTTCTTGTTGTAGGGAAGGTCATCTGGCTCAAACCCTTTGCTCTCTGGCGTGTGTGTGTGAACCGACACTATTGCGGGGCGCCGTGGTGCCCAATCGGCACTATAGAGAGGCCGCCCTCAATAGTGCCGGTTCGGCACTATTGAGGGCGCTTTCTGTGTCCAGAGGTTTTACCGGCACTATACCGGGCATCGGCGCTATAGCGGGCCCAGTACTGTACCGGTTGAATAGTGCCAAAGTTCGGTATAGTGCCGGTAAATTTCTTGACACAGACACAGGCCTGCTGAATAGTGCTAAACCGCACTATTGAGGGCTGCCCGCTATAGTGCCGATTCAGGCACTATCGAACACCTCAATAGTGCCGGTTCACACCCCACACACAGCGTTTTTTCGCCTCAAGCCTTGCACGCCAAGAGGATTCGGAGACGGTTTCCCTTCGAGCTACAAGTATAGCTCGGTTTCTCTCGGTACGCGTGACGTCTTCAAATGTCACGGTTTACCGATTCGACTAGGTTCCACCAATAGGCAGGGATTTCAGTAGTTTTTGTTTGTTTTTCTCCCATCATTGGACTCTGTCGTCTGTCCCTCTGGCCCCTATCCTCCACTTCTACTAGCTAGACGACCCAACCGGGGTCACATAGGTGGGGGGGGCTGGACCCTCTCCTGCGGTTCATGCCTGAGGTTTTTTTATCGCGAGAAGGGTACAGCAATCCCTTCCCTCGCGACTTACGAAGTCGATTATGGTTTACTAACAAACAGCTTTGCAGCGCGTCGCTTTCATCCTAGACCAGGATTTATGTAGTGACCACAGTAGTGAGGCGAGCTAAAAGAAAGATGGTGGTAGTGACGACGGATGGAAATGGAATAATATAGCCAAGGATAGTAGTGATGATGCAGGAGGAAAATATGGCGTCGAGGGGATCAGCAAGGGTTGCGAGCGAGATGACCTTCCTCACAACAAACCGCCGCAGGGGCGCAGAATCTAGAGATGAAAGCCCGAAAATAGTGGCAAAAGTAGTGGTGGTAGTTAAATACTTTTAAGGATGAAAACACTTCGAAACGCACGCGTGTTCAAAGTAGTAGGCCTTGGCAGTCACGTAGTTCTCCCCTCTCTGGGTTGCTACCATTTCCGTCTTTTATCCAGAGAATAGCTAAGCCTCCTCCACACGACACGCTCTCACGGCCTTGAGAAAAACATTTATTCTGTTTTTGACCGCAGTGAGACTGACGTATTTTGGGTGGCCAGTTGTTTTTCTTGCTTCTGAAGGCTTGATCTTCTCTCCAGCCTTTTTTCGAAGCAAGAGGGGAGTTCGTTATCGTCTTCGCCCCTTTTTTAGGTTGCATCTACGTTTGTGTGCTCATGTTAGGAGCACTACATCCATCCACGTTTGACCTCCAAATGTACATGGGTGCATGCATGAGCGTCTTTCTTTCTTTGCTGTCGAGGGGTGCCTTTGAGGTTGCCTGAATAGTGCTACGGCCTTGCAATACAACACGTGATGATTTGATAGCGAGGTGTACTTTTATCGGGCAACACGGGGTACGATTGAAAGGCAGCGACAACGTTTCACTAGCGAGTCTTGCGCTGAGGTGGGCAGAGAACAACTGCTGTGCAACAATCTATCTATCTGGTCAATCAAGTCAATCTAAATGTGACCAATGCCGTGTGTTCGACAGTCCAAGAGCCTCACGAAACTTAATGAAGCCCGCCCACGTCGCCGACTTCACGATTGATCCAAACACTGTTCGTTTGGTACTTTGTCAGCCCCGCAATGCGCAAGCGCTGCACTCTGTTGTCGAACAGTCCTGAATAGTGCCAAGCCGGCACCATAGAGAGATTTTCAGGGCCTGAATAGTGCCGCTTTGGCACTATCCAGGCACAATTCTGAACAGTGCCAGTGCCCGGTATAGTGCCGGTCAAATCGCCTGGACAGATACCGGCACTATATCGGGACACCTACTGTATGTACTGTTCACTGCTGTACGATCGATCTGCAATCAGCTGTCTGCAATGCTAGGGCACTTGGTCCCCCCCCCCCGCCGTGAGGGCGGTGGGGTCCGAACAATACGTGAGCAACCGTTATTGGTTTGTGGCTCAGTTCTTGGCTGGTGTGCCAGCATTGGCGGTTTAGGTTAGTAGTATGGATGGAATACTCAGACCATGTTATCCTCCCTGAGCTACCTACTTCCGACATGAACGCGTGTCTTCCACCTCAAAGGAGCGATGTAGAATTTGCTTCTTCACTGGTATTCTCGATTCTGTACGAAGTAAGAAGAAGACTTGAGTTTCTGCTGCGCCGAACGCCTGCGTTGCAGCCCATGGGAAAATGGACAACACGATAGCACGGTGCCCCCCATACTCTTTTTTTTGTTGGGGTATGAGGTTGTTTTGGAGCAGCTCCCGCTGTCGTGTCGACCCAAAATTCTAGATCACGGCATCACAGTCACCTCTACTGCCCCCAAACACCAATGTTTCATCTACTTTCTGGACCGCGACAGGGCTGCAAAGTCTGGCCAGAGGCTCCGTGAGGACATAAAAATGGAGACGTGGCCGCTTTATTTTCCACGCTAGTTGTGCCGCTGCCAACTACTCGCGTTTAGAGGCAGTTGGTGTCGATTCTAGGTGACCTTTTGCAGACACATGGCGGACTTTAAGATGCTGATCCAAATTTCTAGGATTTTTTATTGAGTGTTTCTGTGGCTATCCTTCTGCCGTGTGGCCAAGTCACGAAGGACGTAGTTCCGTTTTCAGACCGCGACGGCCTGCGGAAGTTGGCCACCAAGAGAGCTGAAAAACAGGGCTTTCGCAACAGCAAAACCGATCGGCATGGCAAAGCAAATCTCGAACTGGAAGCAAAATCACGGCGTGAAAGCTGCTGACGGACGCAGGTTGGAACTACTTTGGGCTGGTCTGCCAATGTCGTGGAGATCCGCGGTCTGTGCCAGTAGTGCCAGTGGTGGCTAACAGGGTGACCTGGAATGGGCTGAGCAGCAATATTTCAGAGCGGTTCCGGAAAAATTACGGAGGTACCCAGTATCTATGGGCTGCAACGCAGGTGCTATCAAGAAACTCCTGAAGAAATCTGACGCAACTATCTACTCGCAATATCCCGAAGCAACTACCTCCGAAGCCCCTTGATCTCCGATCGCGCATCACCCCCAAGCCCGGGGCGGGTGTGCAAGCAGACCCTTGCAACAAAAAATGTGGGGAAATCGTGTTCGGCGAAGACGAAGGCTTGGGACATCTGCTCAGGTACGATCAGAAGGCACGCAGACCATATGCCTGCTCCCGAAGTCTCGTGGACACTGTCCATGTCCTCGTTCCGTGCTTGGACAAAGCACGAACCCAGCATCAGCAGGCAGGGGTAGGAGCAGCCTGCAGCACCTACTACCTCCCTTGGCTGAGAGCAGAGCGGTTCAGAGCGGTTCATCCGTAGCACAGTTTTTATACTGAGCGGTTTTGTTTACTACGTACCATAAACCGCGCGAAACTTCGGCCTTCAGGACGGTGTAACGTCAGAAAAAGCCATCGACACCGCACGGATATCCGAAAAAAATGATCGAGTACCTGCGATTTCATAGCAAACACCGAAAACCGATTTTTTTGCACGGTGTGCTGCGCGTAGAGGCCACTGATGACACCCTCTGCGTCCTCGCCACCAGGACTGTCCAAACCAACCGAAAAGCTGTCAAATAGTCAATTATTCAAGAAAAGACCCATTCCTCACGTCGATACCGCCTCGACCCATACGTTCCTGCAACACGTGCAACCACAGCGGATGAGTCCTCACTTGCCTCTCGTTGAAAGTTGCCATTACTACGTAGTACTTTCGTAACGCAACACATTTCGATTATTCAACCAAATACGTTGCTCTCGGTCGATCTCGACAACCACTTGCTCTCAAGCACGAGCAGCTTGGACAGATGCGGCTTTCGCTTTCCCGTCAGACTGCAAACAGCTTCCCCAACTAGTGGTCCAACTTCTTGATCTCCGTAATAAAATTGGGGTTAGACATGAGGAACATGACCATCTCGACACGGTCGGGCGGCAGGCGTTATGGACTGCCGAAGGTTGTCGTGCACGATTCCCAGCCCCGAACACTCCCAATCCGATTGGCAACTAGTGCTGTCAATGCATATGTCCGACATCCGTGCCTTGCAAAAAAAGGTGACTCCGTGGATTTACCGCGACTGTACCTCGGGTTTAATCTTGCATTTTGTGATGGAATAGCTCAAACCGCGTCGTACAAAACGCTCGTACGGATTGCTGGCAAACCTCGCGGAGCGTCACGAAGCGGTTTTTCCGAGGGCAATATCTCGCGGAGCGGAACTTTTTTTCGTTCATCTCACGGAGCGGAGCGGGGCGGTTTAGCCGCTCCGCTCCGTGGAAAAAAGCCGCTCCGTGAACACTCCTGAACATTTTGTAGACGAGCGCTAGAGACCTGTGTCGAACTTTGCTAAAATTTGTGGTTGTAAGAATCCATCCTCGCCCCGCGGTGTTTGTCATCGGGGTTGGGTTTTCGTCGCTTGGCAATGATGTTGTAAAACAAGCCGTTGACTTCTTGAGCTCGGCAGGCTGTTTACCGGGGCTGTCTTTGCCGTAGCCATGGAAAGTGGTCGAGTAGATTATGTTGTGTGGGGTCGAGACCCCTCACTTCGCGCAAAGAGGATGATCACACCACGTTGTGTTGAAATGGTCAAGCACCCTCGAAGCAGTTACCCGGTGCTCATGACTGTCTCTGGAAGTGGAATCTCTGGAAGTGGAAGTCATTCGCAGCTGTCATCCGTTGCAAGGAAATAAACACAAGATGCCAAACGCCGTTAGCAGGATGCAGCGCACCCTCCATGCGACTCGTCGAATACCTCACGGCGCTTCGCGCTTGGTGACATGAGAACCTGGTCCGGTGAGAACCCGGCATGCTCCGTCCCGGCTTTGTAGGGATGCGAGGTCAATGGTCGAACGACTGCGGTGTGCATGGCTATGACTATCCTCCCCCCCAGGTCCCCTGGGGGCACCTGTGCAGTATCGTAGGTGTGCAAGGAATACCTAAATATCCATGCTCGGAAGATGAGTGCAAGTTCGTATCGACATCTTTCAACGATACTCACTCAACCTTTAGTATATCCTTAAGCAAGTATTGCAAATACTCGAATTTTTCTACAACCTTTGAGTTAGGCAAGTACGGATTGTTTGAGTTTACCATACTCATGTTCTACTCAACCTTCAGTAGTAAGTCATTGAGTGAGTATTTCACAACTACTCACACCGCACCCACGAACCGAGTTGAGTATTGTTACGCAGTACCTATATAGTTTACTACACAAGCAACAGGTATTTCTTCATGCACCCCAGTCCTCTCGCTAACTGGTCCAGATAACGACCTTTCGAATCTTTTCCTGTTTTAGCCACACTCGAGACTGGCGTGTTTTCATTGGTCAGGCGGTCAGCGCGGTCGATGCTAACACCATAGGTTGCCTGAGATAATGGCGCACCTCCTGGATCGATTTTGTACGCTCGATTATGAGGCAGGAAAACAGTGCGGTGACGGTATCGAAAATGGCGGCGTTGTAACTGCCTCGTCGAGAGCTTACCGACTACTCACGCATCATGTGGCTTTGTGCATCCTCGTCGCCATGGAGTAATCGAGCTTCAATATTTTGTCGAGGCGGTGTGGTATCGCAGGCAACCGACGTACAAGATGACACACAGGTTGGCCAGTAGGGCATGCATGTGGAATGGAACACAAACGCGTTTGCCCGGCACCCGGAGAAAAGAGAGCCTTGTTTTTTGGCTCGAGTGCATGGCGTTGTGATGTCCTCTAGGAAATAGACTATATTTTGAGTCACATTCAACACATTGATCTGTTGTGCGCCGCAGGGTAGACGGAGCATTCCGCACGCGACGCGCACAATCGGTAGGCATTTTTTGGTACGAACCAGGTGAGGGACTTGCTGACGCCACCGGGCTTGCCCTCGAACGGGCTCGTACGTTCATCGTGTCATCTGTGTGCACATGTGTAGTCCACGTGCACCGTCTATTTGCACGCCGATAAGCATACAGATGTGAAGGATGCGCAGAAGCGGTCAAAGATCTGTTACATATTTTTGCGTTCTTGTCATTGGCGAAACCACGGTGAAGACCAACCAACCAAGCGCGGGAAATGAATGACATTTGTTCGTTTGCAACCCTGGGCCCTTGGCTTTTCTTTGGGGTTCGTTCGCAACACCTACTTACTGTTAGTGTTTTTGATTGAAGTCGGGCTCAATCAAGTCCTCATCGCTCGAAACATTGGATCTCTTACGCTCCGGCACTTATGGTAGCCGTCCCGTAATATTTTCTCCTTCCCGGCGAGCAGGTTTCTATGCCGGTGTTGTCTCAAGTGCGTTCACTTTGGGCCGATTCTTGAGCGGTTATTTTTGGGGACATGTCTCCGACTCCTGCGGCAGGAAGCTGGTGATCATCATCGGGTTGTTGACTACCACCACCGTGTCGCTGACCTTCGGTCTGTCGACAAAGTACTGGGTCGCCCTTTCGTCAAGGTATGCACCCACGTACAGTATTAACACAACATGGAACCCCCACAAACACGCACCACCCACGCCGAACACCACACACACCCTGTTGCTGCTTTTGTAGCGGGTCAACGTGGGTGTCATTGAGGGACTCAACGGAATGAACTGGGAATGGGAGCAGGCTCGTTGCGACGTGCTTTGAGGCAGTCACTGTTGTTGTTTGATCTACTGCTTCACCCTATTTGGACCAGACCCCCTCAGCCCTCACTTGGAGACTGCGAGGGTGGAGCGGAAATCCTGAACCCTCTGCAAGCGCTTCAATTCCTGTCAACGGCGCTACATATCCCACGAGATTCCAACTGTGTTCATGTAGCGCTCATGCACTGCTCATACAATGCTCAGACACTAAACTGTTTACTACGTGACCACGAACACATTGCTCTCAAATCAAGGAACAGGGTCACGTTTGACACCACGCGCACCAAAGAATGACTCCCGGTGGCTCTATTTTTGTAGTGGCCGACACCCGACATATTTTTTGTGAAGACCGGGGTGCTGTCTTGCGTGGCTTGCACGGAATACGCAGAGGGAACACACTTTCCGCCCGTGCGGAGGATCTGCTTCGTGACAGTAACTCCCTTTTGGGGAAGGCAACGGACCTTGTCCACTCTTACGTGCCTGCAGCACCGCTACACGGCATCCAGCCCTCGGAGAGGATGAAAGTGCGTTATACGCGATTCAAATGATACGGGCGCAGGGCCGAAAAGGGTAATCTTGTGCCAAGCACTTGTACATACTCTTGCAATTGTTATTTCTTCACTTTTTCGCCCTGAGAATGTACAGCGCGTTTGCTACGAAAGTGCAACGTATGTGTCGCCGATGCGTGGGTGCACCAATACGGCTGCTAAAGACTGAGAGAATAGGCAGAACAAGCCCTTAAAGGAAGAGCAATGGACTGAGCGAGCCACCTGGTATGGTGTTTGGCATTGGCTTCGCGCGGAAAAAGTGAAAATCCACCACCGGTTTTTGTCTTCGGCCCGAGCAGGTTTGCTCTCGGTCTGATGAATGGAATCACCCCTGCGGTGAGAACAATTCTGCACGACATTTGCGGCACCGAGCACGTCGTTCAAGCCTTCGCCTACATTGACGGTACGAATAGGGCTAGCCCTGATCGCCGACTCAAACTGCGAACGTGTGTACCGAAACCGAGAGTTGAGAAGTGTCAAACATGGATGTTCCGGGCTACTATTCTATTTAAATCCTTTGAACGACGACCTCGTCCCAGAAGAGGTCTAGGGAAAAGGCAGCGATCGTAAAGCCTTGACGAGGGCACAACTATAGTAATGTTGGCAACCGTTGGGCAACCCGTGCGAGTTAGCTGAAAGACTTCCTTGGAGACTCATTGCAACAAGCCCGCTGCTGTACGGAACCAATGACGCTGAATCAAGGTGCTCTACCATGCCGGCGAAATTCCTGTTAAACACAGGACACAAATGGGTGTATGGCAAAGTGGACCTAGCGGATCCCCTGATGGCTCGCCTCGACGCACCCGCTGTCCGAGCTTAATCGTGTATCGCCCCTCTGTCGGCTCCTGTCAATGCATGCTCTACACTCACACGCTCGGCAGGGACGAAGGCCGTTGGCATCGTTTTTGGTTCGGCGATAGGGGGGCTCCTGGTGCAGCCAGCCGAACACTACCCGAGCTTGTTTGCTGCCACGGGCGTTTTCGGGAGGTGAAGTACCAGCGTGCACACGGGCCAGGGGCGTCTTGTCTGCAAGCATCCTGTCTGCAAGAAAACGTGCTGCGCGCGAGCCTTGTTCGTTAGGGGTCCGGCAGGATTCTACGTTTCGGCCCATTCTGGGCTCTGCTTGTGCGTCGCATTCGTACGTGTTATTTTGGTGTAGATTCGAGACCAACCCGTTCCAGGTTCTAGAGGGTTGTCCACTGCCAGAGCGATGCCATGAACACAAGCTGACCCCTACCCTTCTTTCGTCACCGTTCGCATATTCTCACGCTTTCGCCTCCTGGCTTACTCGCGTCACGGACGTCGCCAAGGTTTTCGTTCCTGCTTCCAAATTTGGTGGCGGCGGGGTCCTCGCTACTGCTCCTGCCAATTGTCGTACTCTTCCTCCCTGAAACGAAGGGTTTGGAAGGCCAACGACCGTGGAAACCGAATCCGAGCAGGTGATGGCGCGACGGTTTGCACTAGAATACAGTTGTGGTCCCGGTTGAGCGGTTTCCTGTTTAACGGGAAGCCCTGAGTAGCGGTTCCAAAATCTCGTGCCACAGCTACACCTCGGTAGTCAAGCTACGATACAACGCCAATCCTGTTTGCGGCGATTCCCTCAATAAATAGCGGTTATAACATTGCGTGACACAATGGACCGTCTAAACCGGGACCATGGCCTGTATCAGCGGATTCTGGCTGCTGCGGCGTTGATCGACCTAGGAGCGTGCGGCGAGGGAAACACAACAATTCGACTCCTAATGCACTGCTATGTGGACCAACCGTGGGGCTCCAATGTCTGCTTGATTGTTTGGCTTCTGGAAGGGATTCTGCGCCGGCTCTACTGTAGACTGAGACGGCCGCAACCGTATGCCTTGCATGCATGCATGCACTGCCGAAGGTGTGGACACTTTCTTTCCGGGTGAACGACCCGTCTTGTTCCATCAGCAAATCGAACTGTTGTCCTTACTTGGCCAGCGGGTGAGAGTATGTTCAATTCCAGCAGCAGTGCAGGTTGTGCCACACACATTTTCGGCATCACGCTCTGAAAACGATTGACACAAAATGCCACAACCAACCCAGCGCCACTGCTCTAACCTGTCAAGAAGCTTCCTGAAAATGTGACTATTCTCTACGTTACATTTGTTGCCCCACACTTGACACTGTAACCGGCCACCAGTGCGAGATACGGCACGTTTAACTACCTCTTCAAAAGGAAGCGTAAGGTCGAATTCGGGGAAGAAGCGAGTAACGCGACGCCGTTCGCCTCGGCTTCCACAAAGGGGCAGCAGGCGCCAGAGCCGGGGTTGTTGGGAGAGGGGGGGATTCTGTCCACGCCCAAGGTCAAGACCATCCTCCTCCTTGCGTGCGTCGTGCAGGTGACACGAGAAAAGGTGCCGGATGCAGCACGCAACAGCAGAGTGCCCTGCTTTCAGTCTACCCTGTGTGCCGATTGATTTGATAGTGTCTGCCGATGGCGAAGAGCAAACACACATAGAAAGGACAAAACGACTAGCATAGACACCGAAACGACACCTGGTTGCAGGTATAACGTAGTCGTGGCATGTTGTCGATTTTCTCGGCGGCGTTTGATGTAGACCTGACAGCAGAAGACGTTACCAGTGGGGGTGGTAGTTCTGCGTGTTTGAAGAGGGGGGCGGGGGAGGCGACGAGACCTCTTCGACGCGATCACAGTCTCTCGGATAGCGTTTCGTGCTCAGCGACTACGCGCATGCCTCCCTGCGCTCTAGGGAGCCGTGATTAGGACTCACAGGTGGAGGAGCAGACAATACCATCCCGAACGAACACATGGTCAACATCATCACCCCTCGCCAAACATCAGACCTCGAACAGCGCTTGCTCAATGGGTATTTCAGGCCATCGGTGGTGCTTCGTGACTGGCAAGTCTTTCATCTTGCGGCGATTAATTTTTTCCTTCGTTAGGCCAGCCTGCTAAAACACGTTTCTTATTTCTCCATTTTTTTTGTACCGCGAGTGCTACTACAATGAGATCATCAAACATCCAGATTCCACCATCACCCTGCCTACTCTCCGTTTCGAACGTCCACCGCCGCTGCAGTCGTTGTTCACCGGATTCGAAGAGGTTTACCCTTTGTGGGCGCTCAGTATCGTGAGCGTCGGGGGACTGGGGTGGAGCACCGTCGAGATCGGAAAGGTGGAGCAGAACGACATGCATTCTTGACCGCGAAGCATGGCAGGCGCCGAGAGTTGCTAGCGTGTCGGGGGTGGGGAGGGCGGTGGGCGTTGGAATGGCCCTATCAATGCAGCAGTGCATCGGCTCTTGTAGCACCCTCCGTCCAACCGCGCGCGCTTTTCCGCCGTCCTCGTAAGTCTCCCCTCCCCCCGTGCGTCCCCCTCGACAGATGCGAAATATTTATATATTGTTCGATTTTCGATGTTGCTGTCGTTCGACGCAAGTGCCACCCGATATTCGTTGCTTCCTAAGGCCGTGAGACGGACTCCATCACTTGGATTTCCATTGGGAAGTATTCTAGTGTGTGGGATGGGGCCAACACAGTTCCAAGGTTCGCATAATTGCGCCCGACAAGTCGTTGCGTAGGAAGCTTTGGTTTCCGACAGGCTTCCCGTTTCAACCAACCTTGTAGTCGTCAGTAGGCACGATCGTGAAACCATCTGTAGGCGTGCATCGTTGTCCGCGTTGACGGTGATTGCCCGAGCCCGCTCCTTGAAGCTTCACGGCACGCCAAAGGTCACCGGGGGTACTCCATGCACATTCCGCGACAAGCTCTGGCTGCAGTTCCGAGACATAGACTTTTGTGGGCGTGAGAGAGACCTGGTGCCCAACCCACCTACAACCCCTGCTTGCTTCGCCGTTCCTCACGATGCCTCGAGCAGGTACTTCTCACGACCGGCCTGATCATGGTGCCCCTTCAGCTGTTTATTTTTCCCTCGTTCGTCAAGGCTCTGGGTGCCGTGCGTTGGATGCGAATGGGGTGCTTCTTGGACACTGTCGCTGTCCTGGCTACTCCTAACGCCACGTTCGTCGGCTTCAACAGCATCACTCTGTTCGTCTTTTCGGTTGCGAGTACCACTGTGGTCAACTGTTCCTTTTCGGCGGTATGTGCAAAACGATCGACTAGTTGGTTTATGATTAGTGGGTTTCGACAGTCCAGTTGGGCGTTTCGTATTCGAGGCCAAATACACTGGTTTAGTATTCCGCAAGGCGGACACGATACGTTGGTACTATCGTGTGACGCATGCTCACACTGATGCGTAGGCATGTTCTACTGCTGTTTTCATCCTCCGAGGGCCTCGGCCTTCAAGAACGTAGGCGAGGATCTAGGAAGCAAAGGTAGACGATGATGACAAGTTTAAATGTGTACGCGGCTCCGAGTGCAAGACCGGGATCTTGTGTCACGGCCTGTCGGAGAAATGTACAAGACTGAAAAGGTAGAAAGAGAGTACGGGGAGAGGCATGGAACAGGCAGGAGAAGACGGTAGCTGTACTGGGGCGTAGGAAGTAGGTTGAAGAGGCGGGAAGTGATATCGATCGGCTATGCAAAACACTTTTGAGCCACCTGTGGCAAAGTAGCAAGGAACGAGTGGCCATCAATGATCGGTCCTGTGGGAACAACGCTCCGTCCTCTCGAGGACGGGTGCTCACTGGTCTAACGGCTGAAGCATGCAAGATATGAGTACGGTCGTGCCCCCGAGCGCCTTAAACCATAAATAGGTATCACCTGGGAAAACGGTACGACCATGAGTTGGTCTTGGACGCCATCAAGCCAATTGCCCGCGGCGGCGCCCCGCAGGAATTGCAGCTCAGTCTCGTGAAGGTCACATTCGTTATCCTTGGCTGCGCATTTGATTCTCCGGCCACGACTCATCCCCTGTACGCGCGACAACGTGAACCTGATGCTACGCCGTAGGTTGGCATGTCACTGTCAGTGGCGTCGACGAGTATCGTCCCGTCCAGATTGCGGGGGGAGCTCAGCGGGCTATACCACATGGCGGAGAGCTCCGGCCGCGTCATTAGAGCCATCGGGTTCGCCGCCATGTTCGCGTGGTCCATCGCCCCTCACTCTACGCCGCACGCGTGGGTTGACCACCACTTCGCGTTCTACGCGTTTGCTCTGGCGTTGAGCGTGGTGTCGGTGCTAGCCAGGCGGACCCTGACCTCGGATATTTTCGGCAAGGAAGCTGCCGCCACGGCCGACGCGCGAGGCGGGGATGAAAACAAAGGGGGTTACATGTACGCCTAGGTCGTCGATCGAGAGTAGGGGGTTACAAATGATGGCTGCGTTACATCCTGGTACTACAACAAGGGGCTATTAGACGAGGAGCTATGGTTCGTGTTGGGGGAGGTGTTTTTCAGCTCTTGCCGACAGCAGCAGCAGCAGCAGCAGCAGCAGCAGCAATGTCCGCATGTCCACTCTTGTTTGAACCTTGCTGGTTATTGTGATGGGACATGCAGGCGTAGCGATCCCTGAAGACCCTGCTGAAGACTCACATATTATATTATCCCTTGGAACAGCAGTGCTACCTCTCGATGGTAGGCTGAACACAAAGGGGGATGCCATTGTCCCTCTAGAAGGGGCAGTGAATGTGTTGTTCCCTGCGCCATCCTTCAATCTAGAGTTCCATCCCCCGCACTGTCCTCGGGGAATTGTCCCGCAGTGCAGTCGATAAGTCTACATTCCAATCCCACAACACTAGCCCACTCTGGAGATTATCATGCCCACGGATACTTGAAATCTCAGGAATTGGCAACAAGTCGGCACGACAAGGTCGGTATTAACTAACCTATATGATACGGTCAGGCAGTCGGTTTCTATGGCCGAAACGACAAGCAATTACAAGAGCACTGAAACCAAACGTTTCGGCACAACGAAAAAAGGCGCCATGTCTTTACAATAAGAGTAACATCAAACCGCAGCAGGCAGCAGAAGAAAACTTAACCACCCGAACGGAGAAAAAACGAAATATCAAAAGACTCGAAGGACAAGACGACCAATCAGACAGGAACAAACCGTTAGTCAAAGTGACGGGAGCAGGGGCCGAAATACCAAAACGAAATCCAACATTCATTGTGCCGTAGTAGGCAGCGACAGCCCACACGCCGGTAGAGACGGATGAAGTGGACACGACTGGGAATTGGGGATGAAATAAACCCGAAGTGATATGAAGCCAACCCGAAGTCGGCCAGTGTAAACTGCAACGCAAGCAGGTCCAAACCTCGAGTGAAAAAACTACAAGAAATCTACAAGCACTCTGTGCTATTCGGTGCGTGCAAAATCATTTGGCAAACGAACCATTCGAGGCGGAGATGCTCCGGGTGGGGGCATGAACGGAATCATCAGCAAAACATACGGATACAGAGGAAGGGGTACGAGGTTCGCACACACTCATACTACGTTGAGCGCCAGCCTTACGAGCTCGCTCATTCTGTCGTGACAAGCGAACACGCCTCAAGACAAAGCTCAGACAGACGTGTGGCCTCCTCTTGTGGACCTGCGGCGCGGGCTCCTTATTGCCGATATGCATGGAAGACTTGGTCGAAAAACACCGGTCAATGTGCGACAGTGTCAGCTCGGGCGAGCCAACTATTTACACTCTCCCCCCTTCGCGAGCTCGATGTCATGATCCGTCTGAGAAGCCCTCACACGGTCATCGTCTACGGAGCGGTCACGTCTCTGCTGGACCGCATGGTTGTCGTGATGGAGCTGCTCTTTGGTGGTGACCTCCGAACGCTGTTGAGGAACTCCTACATTGCAGCCCCCAGGAGCAATCTAGGCGCATCATAGGGGATTTCCGCGCCGAAATGCCTTCCTTCACAGCAAGTACAGAGTTCACGACGATCTCAAGTCGGCAGCGTGCTACTGGACGGGTCTGGACGGGTGAAGGTAGAGCATGACAATATGCTGCAGCTATCAGGCGTGTACAGCGAACGATTTGTTACGGTTCGAGACATTCAATGTTCCGCATGTACTAACTGCATCCACAGAGTGTTCTTGTGAAGTAGAGAAGTAGTACATCTTGACCTGCCCAACCTGGTGTCGTACCTTGAGGTTTGTCCAGATTGGAATTTTTGGCACTACATTCATAACGTAGATGGTCGCAGCACATAGACTCAATCGGCCTGGCCATGTACACCACCAGATCCAGACAGGGCACCCAGGTGAGCGTCGCCTGGAGCGCCGCCGAGGTAAGCGCTTCCCTTGACCAAGGGCGATCCTGGTGTACTTCTTTTTCCATCACACCGCGATTGGGGGAATGATGGGTACTTCACGACGGACTTACAGCGACTGTCGTGTTCGAGATTTTCCAACTTCATCTATTGACGTGGCGCATTTTCCCTCTCCTGAAATCAGCACGTTATTCTGAATTGTACATGTACAGTAGTTCGCCCTCCCACCTTTGGGCGATGAGTTGCCCGCGGTAGGCGGAGGTAGGTGTTGGTTGCTAGATTATATTGTACGGTATTGTATTGTCAAGAGCGTCCCCCCTTCAAACAGCTTAGCTCCTCATTCCCTCCCGGTCTCTGCATACTGTTGCATGCGGCTGTGATGTTTTCATTGTTCCCATGCTTCAGCATTTGCACCGGGATCGCCAGTCCAGTTGGGATATCCTGCCGGTCTCTGACGAGCAAGCGCCAACCATCCAAACTGCTGTTGTTGCTCCTTTTGTCTCTCGCCGATATCTCAGGTGCTTGAATCTGGCGGTAGCACCTACGCCAGCGGCGTCTACAGCTTCGGCATCGTTGTTTGGGAAGTTGTGTCTGGTAAACTTCCTTTGGCAAGCAAATCTTGCCCTGATGGAAATCCTGTCAGCGCTTTTGACGGGGGCGCGGCCTCCGTCCCGTGACCATGCTCCATCGTGGACATGGCAAAAAGGCATGTAGGGACGAGGAACCCCACGCGCGGACCACTTTCGATGCCGTGATGGAGTGCATGAAGTCACACGGCCGCCACGAGTTGTGTAGGTTCGATCAACTATATGTGCTGGGGTCGGGATGCGTGTTGTGGATTGCCCTTCTGTTTCTTCTTCGCGTTGGTGTTCTGGACCAAACCAACTGGTACTCCAAGTTGCTCCAAGAAGTGCGTGTTGCACGACGGGATCTAGTCTAAACCGTTTTTCGACACACCCTGCTGCATCCGCGTTGAGGCACAGGCAGTAAAACACGTCTTGGGTGCAATCCTCCGAAGTGTGTTTGGGTACGATTGTGGGGTTGGGACGGAGTACAACTTCGGGCTGAGAAGGCGTCGTGGGTGCTGCAGGAAGATGAGTTATTTTATTTCAACTCACAATGGATGGCTGGCTCTACAGCGACAGCGCTACTCTTTGCCACACGCGCGATTGGCTATCTACATCTGATACATTCTCTGTCGCACTCACCAAATGTCGAGCAGCACTATCGATTTTTCTTTGTGCAGCACGCGCTTCGCACGATCACCACCATGCAGGTCATTGGTGGCGCCGCCTCTCCATCGCTCACGCGGCATGCGGCACAAAACGTCACGTGACATGTCACATGTGACATTTGAATAGTCATTTTCCCGAAGAATCTCTGAAGGAATCTCCGATGGAATCTTCGAAAAATGAGACAGTTGGAGAACAATACCTAAAACGTCGACGGAGATCTTCTTCACGCCGCCTGCCTTGTGGACGTAGCGAACATTGCTCAGCAGGTGACAACAAACGCACGCTACATAGCAGCGAGAGAGAACGGATACGCGCCCTCCACTTCCTCTATTCAGCTTGGTGGGGAAACAAGGGTGAGAAACCGATTCATCAGAGGAAGGTGCGTGTAGTCTATTGCCAGTCCCTGTCTCGTTGTCACATGCCCTACTAGCTCCGCACCGACGCATCTAGACTTGTAGACTATTTCTTCTTTTCTGAAAGGATGGGTAATTGTGTGGGGTGTCGAGGGCTGGATCGCAGCGTGTACCGCACGTATAAGCGTGCATCGTCAGCCAGCCTCGCTTGTCGGTACGCTCTCTAGGCGCTCGCTCTGCCGGTTTCTTCCCCCCGTCATTGAGTCTTCGGAGCCGCTGGCTGTTGGTGGGCGGTGGTGGTTTGCTGGAGCTGTTGTTCGTTCATTTTGGCTTGGGGTAGCGTCTGGCCCTTCTCTCTCTCTCTCTCGGCCCCTCTCTCTCCTGCGGTGTCGGGCATCGCCGTAGATGTACCGGGTTGTAACAGCTATTTACGAACATTCCCCTCAACTTGCCACGGAGGAACCTTCTTTCCACCGTCAGAGTTTGGTACCAGGTACCCACAGGCAGATAGGTACCCAACACGGAACGAAAAAAACTCGCGCCTTTTTCATTTTGAAGTTTGAATTTTGCACAACATCGGGAGTTTGTCATTCGAAACGTGCTTCACCCTCCCTTCCCTCCCTCCCCGTGCGCAGAGAGCTGGCTGCGTGTTGTGGCGCTGTGCTTACGGTTGCGGACAACTCTGGAGCGGATGGGAAATAGCTCTTTGTTCTTTCTTTTTTCAGACATCTACTGGATCTTCCGTGGTGTTATGTTTACTTCGGTCTGGTGTATCATACATACACCAGTCCATGTTCGTCGCACTACCAAGCAGCATATACCGTATATGACACAAGATAACATACCCCTTTGACCGATTTTCGAAGCTCGATTTCTCAACTGCAGGAACAATCACAGCGCCGACAATGGCGGCGTTGAAACCGCCTCGTCTAGAGCTTTTCGAAAATGTATTATTTCGTTTATGCATCCTCTTCGTGGAGTAATCGAGCTTGAAAAATCGGTCCAGGGGGTGTGTTATCTTGTGTCATATACGGTATATACCGAAAATGTCTTCCTTGTTCAACATTATATTACGTCAAAGCTAAGCACTTTTCGCTTCCGATCCTGGCCTGGGTGAATCGAAGGCAAAGTACCACAGGAGGGCTGGTGGGTATGGGGCCTCAGGGAGAAGAACCCTTTTGTGACCACGGGTTGGAGTAGACGGCACAAGTGCTACAATGCATGAGCGCTGATTTGGAGTGAGGACAACAAAAAAGAAAAAAACACTTGAGCACACCAGTACGGATGCGTCCCCGGCAAAGAATCCCGACATTTCAACCTGCAAGCGGCCGTTTGTGTCCCACAAGAGGAACTGCTGCATATGACACACAAGATAACACACCCCCTGGACCGACTTTCAAAGCTTGATTACTCCACGACGAGAAGGATCAATGCATATGTAGACGAAAGGAAACGTTCTCAGAGAGCTGTCCACCAGACGACTTCAGCACCGCCGTTTTCGGCCCTTCGACTGTTGCTGCTGTTGAAAAATCGAAAAATTGAGCTTTAAAAATCGGTCAGTGGGTGTTGTTTGTTTTTCTCCCATCATTGGACTCTGTCTTCTGCCCCTCTGGCCCCTATCCTCCACTTCTACTAGCTAGACGACCCAACCGGGGTCACATGGGAGGGGGGGGCTGGACCCCCTCCTGCGGTTCATGCCTGAGGTATTTTTATCGCGAGAAGGGTACAGCAATCCATTCCCTCGCGACTTACGAAGTCGATTATGGTTAACTAACAAACGAGCTTTGCAGCGCGTCGTTTTCATCCTAGACCAGGATTTATTTAGTGAGAACAAAACTCTCTCTGCCGTGTATTATCTTGTGTCATATACGGTAAGAACCCCATGCCCGGCCAGCACTATTGTGTAGGTTCTGAAGTGCCGGCGCTATCTGCACCCCCCTAATAGTTTGATTCCACGTTGCTTCGGGAGTACCTACTGCTGAGAAGTGTTTTCGTTTGCCGACGAGCGACAGGGGGGTGGGGGGGCTGGCCGACGGGAACCTGGTGTATACTTGTACAAGCCATCGCCGGCATGCAGTAAGTTCTTGGCGCTTTCGCGGCACCGTCCAAAATGAGGGATTCTAGGGCAAAGGTCAAATTGAGGGCCGGATCCGATATGTGGCGAGAAGAGTATAAGGCGTGTGGGCGACTGGTGGGAGGAGGTGTGCCCATCGAGGAAGAGGGGGAGAGAGCGCCCGCGACGCGGTGGCTTCAAGAGAAGAGGCGCATACCTGCATGACCCTCTGCAAGGAGTAAGAAGTGTGTGTGCGTAGATATTGTAGCCGTTATAACCCCGAACGAGTGAACCAATGTGGATTTTCCTCGGTCCGTAAGCCAAGCGACGAGGAGATCCCACGCGAGTGCATGCATGTCTTGGTTATGAGTTTTTGATGCATGCTGTTCGGTTTTGTTGCTGGCCTCGTGCATGTGTCGAAGGTGGTGTGTATCGATCCCCCTTTTCGGTGTCCAATATACGGTGTGTCACCTGCTGCGAAGCCTGGATGTTTCGATGTTTCAAGGAGTCTGTGAGGGGGGGGGGGGGG